TAGTGAGTCTCAAGCCAGTGATTTATGGCTGAAATAGAATCATGATTTTTCCGCGCAAGATTCCTTTAACTCAGTTGTTTCCTATACTCAACTTTTTTACGGTAAATTTCGTTTGAAAACCATTGTGGAGCAAGACAAGAGGTTTCGGGAGGAGGGGTGGGCAAAAACGTGCGGCTTTCAGCAAATTTCAGAGCCAAATGCTTTCAGCAGAAGCCTAATTAAATATCTACTGAAATTCAGAAAGAACTGTGTTGAAATGTGTCGAACTCGTTCAGAAGCCCCAACCCCCCGGTTTTGATTTCACAACAAAAGATCATTCCGTTTAACAGCTGTTACGGACCTCTTTCTCATGCCATCGTTGCATTTCTTCAGCCGTCATCAATCGAATCGAGTTCGGCGATGGCGTTGACGACGATGACGCACTAAAATCCACATTTCAATGAAAACTTAAAATTTATCACACGCCTGCCAATAGCGCAGTTGAGATATTCAGAGCAATAAACAAAGGATAAAGGATAAAGCTTTGCCGTTGATCAATCCCTTTTTGGGATGCGGCACGCATTCTACTTCCATTCGTAGTGGCGTTTGAATGCGATACAATGACTTGCGGGGGCCAGCCGATGTACAAGTCAGTGTTTTTATCCTCCCAGACAAGTCTGGTACCAATTAACCGACCCCGGAGGATGGAAGGCTTGGTTGGCCCGGGCGACTCACGACCCAGGATTTGATCCCGGACCGCTCGCGTGGTAAGCGCGCCACTTGCCACTACACCACTTCCGCCCCTAACCATAAGAGCAACAAAAGGAAAAAAGAACTATTCCACACAAGGGGTTAAACTGTCAAAATTCGGACCATTACCGTACTCCACAGTGCTGATGGAAGCCACCAGGGTGTTGGCCAAGAGATCAATGCAGCGGAGATGTAGTAAAGGTTGCGCCGTGCACGCTGCACTGCAGGGGAAGGCACGGTATCAGTGAAACTTGCACCAGCCCATGCATGAGTGCTGGGTGGAAATGAAAAAGCGAACTTGCACACTGGATTCTATAGATAGTGGATGACGAAGTGACTCCCCACTCAGCCGTCCCTAAAAATGATCATTACTGGTCATTCAGGTTGTTGTTTGGCACCGTCCCACCTGAGTAATTCCCTATGACGTGGGCAAGCCGGCGCAAAAGAGCGAGCCCCCGATAGTTACAAGCCATTTCCGGGCACGAAACATTATCTTTGTCCATCTAGGCTCCATACAGGCCGGAGCCAATGCGAGAGATTGCAGAGAGGACTGGGAAGCTCACCTGCTGGTCGCTCTTGGTGCGTCCGGGCGGCCTTCCATTACCCGATATCAACGGCCGTGTATCATCGACAAGATCGTTGAGCGAGGAGAGTGAAAAATCGGTGAGATCCCTCTCCAGATGCTCTACCTCATCGCATAGTATCGTGTCCGCGGTCGCCGGTCCTGTGTAGGCAACACTCGTGTTTGTGACGTCACGACTAAAATAAACAAGTAAATGAAGATGCAGTAGGCGACAAATAATGTTTATGGTGACAGACAGTGGGAAAACGCCATGTAGAAACATGCCGCATGATCAATTGAAGGCTTACGCAGACTCCTGCGCATAAGACCGGCCGAGATCGTTTCGCGAAGCGGAAGCGCTGATGGGCGGTCGATGTCGTGTGGTTTCATCGCTTCGCGAAAAGCCACCAGTGCTGTTCAACGACGTCAACTCAGTGAACTCCTCTTGCATACTACGATTCATCGAGTTTGCAGCTGATTCCTGAAACAATCAATAGGTTTTTGAACGAATTATTGTCTCTCCAAAAAAATAGTCATTTCCCATTCCCAATGAGACAGAAGAAAACGTAAGACGATATTTGTTCGAGGTGAGCTATTTTTGCAGTTCGAAAACTATTCAGTAAATATTTTATCCCATGTGTACCTAAGAAGCACTGTAGGCCAGCGAGGGTGAGAAAAGCCGAAGTCGGAGAGAATCTAGCCGATTGAGCCATTGATAGCGCGCCTTCAGATGCCAAAGCGCCACTTACCTTCTGCTTCGGTGAATTGTTACCCTTTCCTTTACCCTTATATACAAGGCAATGAGCACCCTGATTATCGTGTCCGCTGCCTTTAGGTGATAATCGGGCCGTCACGAAACTGTGAGAATAATCAGATTGAAGAAGAAGAAACGAAAGAGATCAGCCGAAAAGATGATGGTCCGGGTGAGTAAATCTGAAGTGGTTCAGAGCCCGTTGTCAAATATCAATGATGTGGAAATATTCACATAAAAACTTCTTTTCTTATCAAAATGCAAAAAGATGAAGGAAAGAATTGACGCGCATCGTGCCGCGCACACGCGCTGTTGAGTTTTCTAGGTGAAATGGAGGCAAAATCATCATAGATGTTGAAACGTGTCCTGAGTAAGGGGAGGAAAAAGTAAGGAGCGCTTGTTCAAAGCAGAAGACAGAAAGACGTTTGGGAGTAATGACCTCATTAGAAAGATGAAATGGTAGCACATAAAATCGCAATTTCTCGATCGGTAAACGCTGAACATAGTACTGCCGTATCAACGCATCAAGCGCAGTGTTAATTATTTATTTATATTACGAAGTTAATTATTTCGTTTATAATGGTTTTTTCCGTTCTCCAATTATGTACATCAATTGCGAGGAATTGGGAATCAAGCAATAAAAGAAAAACTGCCGATTTTATCGGAAAAATCCCGCACTTCCAGATGCCCCTGATATGTTAGGAAGTAAATTCGATATGGGTTAGCCTGTATGGAATCCTACTTGATTCCCGAGTGTTCATACTTTGTGGTGACGTCAAAAATCGCGAGTGTAATAAATAATTGGAGCACTATCAGAAAAAAGAACCGAAATGAAAGTAGAACGTGCATTGACTGGAGTGACGTGAGCTAGCAACAGCAATAGGCGGCAAATAAGAGCGAGAAGATTAGAAATTTTTTATTTATCATACAGGGGTTGGGGCAATAAAAAATACGAGGCACAGTGGTAGCTAATGCCTCTAGGAAACTATCCAACATTGAATCGATTCACGAAATTATGTAAGAGCTTCAGGCTGAAGCAGTTACTGTAGGCCTCCCTGAGCTCGACGACGGTGACAGATGACGTCATATTCTGAAGACGGTGAGGGCAGTGAAGGAGGGCCTGCGTGTACTTATAGAGACTTTAAGGGAATAGCCTGCTGAGGAACTTTAGGCCCACGAACTCGTACCGCGGCGATCCCTCGCGAAGAAAAAGGCGGCCGAGTGCAACACGGACAAAATGTCTTTTTTTGTTGCCCCCCCCCCCCCCCTGTACACTGATACACAGTGGGTAACGATAACTGCGTGGATGATACGTGGCGATAAACAGCGACCCTTTTTCTGGTCCTGGAAGAAACGGCTAGCAAATAGGAACGGTGAAGCATTGCAAGCGAGTCTCGGCACTGCTCACCAAAAACCAAAAATGGTCTGTGAGTGAGAATCAAAAGCCTGACAAATATATCGTAAACTCGACCGCAATCAGTGACGTAAACGAGCCAACGAAGCATCCAGAACCATCTGAACGGCCCGTGTTTAGATAGCGCGGTGTTGATATGCGGAAACGGCGCGAATGGTCACGAGGGCCTCGGTCGGAACCCCTTGATGACTAGTCGGCCGGCTGTACAAGTCACACATATGAAAACGACACGTCATCCGCTTCAAGTTTTAGCATTTTGAGAAAAAGGAAATGTGGTGAAGTAGGAGGCAAAATCAGAAAGCTGCTTCATGCGCCATGCATCCAACCGTCTTTGAAAATTGCAAAAAGCAGTATTTGACTGGGTGATGGGCTCATACGATGATTTGCAGAGCGCCATAGTTATAAGGTAAATTTTCGACTGCATAAGAAATTTTGTCGATTAAAAAGGCAGAACATAAAGGATAAAGGATAAAGCATTTGCCGTTGATCAATCCCTTTTTGGAATGCGGCATGCATTCTACTTCCATTTGTACATTCGTAGTGGCGTTTGAATGCGATGTGGCCTATACAATGACTTGCAGGGGCCAGCCGAATCAGTGTTTTTATCCTCCCAGACAAGTCTGGTACCAATTAACCGACCCCGGAGGGATGGAAGGCCTGGTTGGCCGGGCGACTCACGACCCAGGATTTGATCCCCGGACCGCTCGCGTGGTAAGCGTGCCACTTGCCACTACACCACTTCCCACCCCTCAAAAACTTGAGATCCACCCATCCATTATGTGATTAACCAATTCACCGTGAACAACATTCCCGGCAAAAGCCTCGTTTTGTCTACCAGCGGTAGATTTTTCCCTCCTTCTGCTTCAGCGAATTGCCATCTATTCATAATCCCTGGCTATCCAACTCGTCAAACACATTCCGTTCCCCATTCCGGGTATGCAGCAGATTCACCCTACTCCGTGACATCCAAGCTGGCACCAAAAGCACCGCATGACCTCGATTTTTTGGTCAACCACCAAACTTTACTGCTGATTCTCAGAATCGCAGACCAAACAAAAGCTTATGGACAGCAGATAACGATAATGGACAGCAGGATAATCGCCGCATAATTCTCCGAACCCCGAACTTGCCTATTCCGAAGTCATCTCAAATTTACTAATCCCACTCAATCATACTCCACCCCTCCCCCATAACTCCGTTGAGGGTTTTCAACCTAATCTGGGTCTTTAATGCTACAGAAACGTCCTCATAGGTTCCTCGTACCATAAACCTCAATCAATACTATGTAGTGAGTAACAATCACATGCATACTCAAACAACTTACCGTCAACGGCGGGGCGCTCGGAGACACGGACGGCCGCAATTGTGGCGACGCCTGCGATGATGTGGACGGAGGTGGTTGTGACGGGGCTCGCGAGATCGGCGGTGACACCACTTCTCGAAATATTACCGAGTCCTAAACACACCACACAACTCTAATAGAGCAGTCGATTTCAAACATTCACAATTAGTTCTAGTTCTGAATATTGGGGGAATATTATGCGGAGCATAGATAGGTCTGCTTTTTTCTTAACCTTCCACCAGCAAGGGTACGTCTTAAACCACACAGGTACGCCTCTAACCACAACATTGTTAGCTGTCATGCTTAGAAATAATTCCAAGTTGAAGTCGATGCGTGATTAAGTGCAAACTGGTGAGTAACGCGTTCTTCTCTCATACGTGCGGTCGCGGCGCGGTTAGGCAACGGCGGTGCACAGCTATTAGCGCTGCTGGTTTTTCCCGTTGTTCAAAATCGTTTTCGTTCATTTACAGCAACTTGTGGCCGTCATAATGAATCAAGAGCACCCGGAAAACGCTTAGCGAGCAATGTGCACCGCGCCGCAACCGCACGCACGACTGGCGAAGAAATTGTACACAACCACTTCGATAAAAAACGAACACTTCAATCTTCAAAAATCGTGGCAAGGTTGGTTAGCTGATAAAAACCGCAAAGTAAATGTTAAGGAATAACATAATGTTGGAATATTTTGAACGAAAAATATATTGAATTCGACAAAATGAAGGTGCTAAGCTAGCTAGAGGCGGATGGGGGGGGGGGGGGCAGCTGCACCAAGGCGCGCGACACGTCTGCATCTTCTCAGCGGTATAGTCGTAACTCACCCTTCCAGCTTTTGCAGGGCGTGGGGCAAGGACCCACCTCTCCCCAGCCCCTCAGCTGTCCTCACTCTTTCTTGTTCTTCTTTCAGCTGCCTTCATTCGCTCATGGATACCCCACTGAAGGGCCCCGTAATCATTGATGGCGCCCTGCAACGGAGACAAGCTGCTTCCCCCCCCCCCCCCCCCCAACTACCTTAGCACCAAGATGAATTATTTGGCAACACTGGGTCCAAAAATAAAATAAAAACAACGTTTAAAACGAAGGGAGGAGTGAGGTTGAACAAAATGTGTCACCTTATTCGGTATTACGTCCCGTAGTGACATCGTTTCCCGTACGCTGATACCTTCACGTGCTCCTGTGCTTCGAAGAAGAACCGGTGACGAAACCTAACAGCAAACAAAATTCCACAGCCAATGCTACACTATAAAACTATGTGAACTTTTTTAATTGTACTATAAACTACTACAAAAACCGTTACAATTAAGCATTACGAAGTGTACGTTGTCGCTGAAATAAGGAAGAACTGAACGATCCTTCCAGATCTTGTCGAAAGCAAAGAGGAGCACAAACTCATTCCGCGTGCGCGCGGTCGCGACGCGTTTTTCATTGAATGATTGCCGGTGGTTATTTCCGCCCAACCTCCGCAGTTACAGTGTTCCCTTTCCCGTCTAATAAACTCTGAGTTTTCCCACGGTAGAATAGTGCGGTGACAGGGTGTGCCGCTTACAACGGACGCATTTCTGGGTTAAATCCAAAACCTAATCCCACCTGAGTCAAAGGGCATCAATCCCGCGAGACCATCTAATGAGTGCCAGAACTTTCTAGGAGGACGATAACATTTACTTGCATAGTGACTGGCCTTAGGACGTCTACAGTTGGAAGCATAGCTGAAATCGCTTTCTACAATTTTCGAAAAGAAAACAGACTTGCGTGGCTCACCGAGGGGTATAGAACGTCAAAGGGTGCCGTTCAATGTCTGTCATACTTTTTGGCTGGCCTACCCTCTCGATCAAGATCGGTAAACTACTAGGAATCGGTCGAAATCCGCTGACACGTCCGAAAAGTGCTCGGGACCACCCCCACGTAAACCTTTCAACCCCCGTCACGCGGACGAGTTTGTGCTCCTCGCTGCTTCTCTACTTTGCATGGATCAGGTGAGAAAACTAGCGCGTGCAGTCCCAACTGAACTTTTGGGACCACGAAAAGAGGAACAAAGGTGGGTCATTGACGCAGAGGATATGGTAGATGTTTGTCGACGCAGATCCTCTACGTCTCTGACTCGCAGCCTTTGCTTCTCTGGACTCTAATGTGTTCTTCAATACTACAACACAGTCCTACTATTACTCTACAAAAGCAGTACACTAGTACTGTGAATTGCACAACTAAATTTTCGAAACTAAAATGGAACCTAAATATTATACAAGTGAGATCTGACAAAAAACTAAACCAATTTCTAAAAAAGTTCTAGTTTTGCTCCCGGAATCAAGAAGCAACAAATCCCTGAGGAACTCTTTTTCAATTTTCCCTACTGCAATTGAGCAGGCACAGTAAGGACCATGAACCGCTCTGTCCAAACTCCGAACTGCCTCTTTCACTACTGGTAAGGAAGCTACGGTAGGGTTAGGGTTACTAGGCTGCGCGAATACTCGAGAGCTCCCATTCTATTATAGGAGGGTGGCGATCCAGAGATCAACCGGAACGATAATTTACGCATCCATGGCCCAAGAAGTTTTAATCCCTACCCAACCGCGCCAGGAATGCATTACAATGACTGACTTATTGCCGACACCCATGCGCATCTAAGCTAACCGGATGGGCAACATGCTGCTGGCAGCTTATGAAGCATCCAATATGCCTAGGCAGATAGAGAAGGTACAAAAAGAGCTGTGCCGTGCTTCAGGAATCCGAATACATCCAAAGCAGGTGACTATGCACCATAGTGGGGTCAACTAATTGATACCAGGCTTAAGCAAAGACGAAAAAGTCCTTTCAAGAGCGAGAAGCCTCTTTAAACCATTGCATAACGCGCACATCCATTCAAACACCTCAATTAATCCAAATGGAAATAGGCAACATGGCGCATCACAAATCGCTTTATCAGCCCCTATGAATCAATCCCTCCGAGGTGTCACATCCATTATTCCTAACCAAAATAGATTCTGATTCTGCAGCGGCTAGAAAAGGTCCAAAATAACCCTGAAGCCAATCTCGATCGGCGATGGATATGGGAGTTATTGGTCGGTTTATTGACACACAGGAACGACCCGCCAAACAAATTCCGTATTCTTCGCAAGGAAAACCGGTCAGGATCTGGGGAAAAAGGGGCTGAGCAGAACCTTGGCCTGTTTGGGAACTTCTGTTCTGTGGAAAGTGGTCTAAAAATTGCCCACCTGTGACAACGAAGGCCCCAAATGGGGGTGAGCTGCCGTTCCGTTTGTGTGCGCTGCCGAAGGAGATACTGACGGCGGAACCAATTCCTTCTTGTCCAGCTGAAAAAAATCAACGTTGAGCAGAAAAAACATAAATTGGTCTAGACATTGATTTATCAAACAATAGGGAAGAGGATGATATTATGCCCCCCCCCTCCCCCCCCCCCCCAAGTGTGGGCAGTACTCAAAGCAGTACAGCAAGCGATATGAATTGATCAATAATGTCTGAAGTGCTTTAGAGAGTCATGTACCTGAAAGCACCGTTGCAGCTTTCTACATAAATTTGTCGCTCGCTAACAAACGCGACGAAATCGCGCGGCAAGTTTGGACAGACCTACCTTCGCGCAATTTAGTCGCGCGCGACAAGCGACGAATTTGTGCGAGTCTGGACTGAATTAAAGACACATGCGCACTGCGAGCGACATCGCGCCCCGTTGGGGCAGGACGAAAGCGATAATGATTAGAGAAGAAACGCAAGGAAAACGATTGCTTATCACACTGAACATCAGAAAAAAAGGAAAAATGGTGTAAAACTGATCTCAACGAGGCCATCTCCACCCCTATTCAACATCACTGCACTGTTTCTTACAGGCTGATCAAATGGTAATTCCATGATATTGAATAACTTAGAAATATTCTCACCTGTAACAGACCGAACGCGGTGCCGTCGATGCCGACGTGACAGGTGTGGCGAACTTCACCCACCGGTTCTGAGATCAACGCTTTCCTCTTTTCTCTTTCCCGCTCCTTATCCTGAAAAAGGACGCTTTAAAGGATAAAGGATAAAGCATTTGCCGTTGATCAATCCCTTTTGGGATGCGGCACGCATTCTACTTCCATTTGTACATTCGTAGTGGCGTTTGAATGCGATGTGGCCAATGACTTGCGGGGGCCAGCCGATGTACAAGTCAGTGTTTTTATCCTCCCAGACAAGTCTGGTACCAATTAACCGACCCCGGAGGGATGGAAGGCTTGGTTGGCCCGGGCGACTCACGACCCAGGATTTGATCCCCGGACCGCTCGCGTGGTAAGCGTGCCACTTGCCACTACACCACTTCCGCCCCTTAAAGGAGCTTTAGGGAGATCAATATTCTATCAAAAAGTCTTCTGATAGTCATCACTAGAGGATTAACCTGACACGTTTCAGAGGCAACCCTTCCAACCAGAAGTGTTTTGGAGAAAGCAGAAAGAGCCAAGAACATTGGTTTTGGCGCTATCGCAGTATACGGGGGCATCGTGTAGGAATAAGCCTAATAGGGGTCGGAGCTCCCGCTAAAATGAAAATGGCTCACCCATGAAGTCTCCCCGCCCAAGGTTTGGTCCGTTTTTCACAAAAAGACATGTTTCTCGGGGTTTGGAATGTATGTCAGCACAATGGCCCCGTTTGTGACAGCGCCTTGGTTTTCAATAGAACCGGGTTTTTTTCTAAAGAAATTATGGCTCAGGTGGCTAACTGTAATCTTCTATTTTCTGCCT